CTGTGGGGATTACCTTCCCGTCCACTTTCCAGCCTTCCTAAGATCCCAGAGAAAGACGAAGAAGAGAAGAGAGAGAAGAGAGAGAGAGGACGAGCAGAGAGAAGGGCGGTTCTCCCGAGACACGACAAAAATACTGTCTTCACGTCCACACCGTGTAGATAATACGGCTACAGTGACAGTTGTTAACTGGAGGTTTTTTTATTCCATTAATGCAGACCACTTGGGTTGGTTTTAATTGCGTAAGCTGACGCACGGTTTGTCCTGAAAGTCTGCTAAAGAAAACATTTGAAACTCTGACTCCCACTACTCAGCCTGTGGCCTCAGATCCCCCTGTAGCCACTAGACGGCGCTGGATTCACACAGACTGGGAAGGCTGGATGAGTCATTCGCTGATCTGCTAGGGCCCCCTGAACACCTTGTGAGGAGCAGAGGCAGTATAAACCTACCACCACCAGTTTCAAAACTGAAAGATAATGAATTCATTAGAATTTAAGTTTTCTTAGAACAATTTCCGTAAAAGAAATGAACAGGTTTCCCGTCTATTTATTGACTACTTAGCACATCTCAACACATTTAACAAAAAAATTGCATTATACTTTCCCAAATGTATAATTTATGGGAGGACTACTGTATGTGTAGATTATATTTTATTGTTAAATCTATGTGACACAAATTAGGGTCTAGCATTTTTAGTAACTTTTTCACAGCTAAATTGACATTAAGAGTCTATCTGAAGATGTAAACTCTGTGGTAACTGAAACATCAGTATTGTCTCTGTATTTATCTCATTTGATCCTTTGTTGCTACCTTTTTTTTAGTCTCTTATCTGCCGAATTTCCCTCACAAACAAAGTTTTCCAGCCTCAGTGGAATATATGTGGCAAATAAAGGGCTAAATAAAATAAAATATTGAATTATTGCGTTCTTATTTTCAACCTCATCAACAGTTCACATCTCACTCCGAGCAGAGTGTGATCTGAAACGTCACTCTTGTCACCTCAACCCCAATGGATCAAAATCCCTCTACCAACACCTTGTCATTACCATAAGGTTGCCAGGCAACCAGAGGAGACTCAAGGAATTTAGTCCGGCACATGACCCCCTATATAACCACAATATCTGGTTATATACACTTGGTTCTATACTTTTTTTGCATTAATCAATAAAACCATGTGTTAATTTTGTAGATTTTGTTACCTTTGGACAGGCTAACTGTTTCCAGTCTTCCATGCTAAGCTAATCTAACTGGCTGACAGGAGTAGCTTTGTATTTACATTACATGACAGTGTCAATCTTCTAATCTAACTCCCTACAAGAAAGTGAATAAATGTATTTCCATAAATGTCAAACTATTACTTTAACAAAAAAAAGTTATATATTCATTTATCCTTTCACAATCATACAGCTGAGATTGAGAGTTGGAAATATACACTTGGGCTTTAGATTTATTTCAACAATTTTGGCCATCATTTCTATTGATTATGATGACACTGAACTAAAAGTCATTGCTGGGATCTGGAAACCACAGCAAAGTTAGGAAACAACACAGACACGGTAAGACAATCAGACAACCAACAGTTCAGTCATGTTTTCTGCCTGGTCAAACTGAAACTGAATGCATTCATTGCACAAGGAAACTGGATTCTGAGAAAACCACGTCACTGCGGAATCAGGAAGTCAGTCTGTAAACTGTGATGGATGTTTACAACAGACATCTTGGGAAATAATTTTACAGCATACCTTTGTTTCCTCTTCCAAATAACCCCGGGGGTTTGTTTAAAACCTGTCTGATCTCCAAAATTAACATTGTACAGTGTAACTGATACTAAACCAGTGGCCACCACATAAGATTCAAGTGGTGATAATCATCCTAATGTACATATTTCTATGTGAGCTACACCTGCGATCACAGCACAGACGTCCGGGCTGACAGGAGGCACCTGGAACTGCTTAGCAGCTATGGCACTGGAGGCCTCTGATGGCGTTCGGAGAAATCTAAAGACAACAGCAGACGACCTGGTGGGAAATGACCGTAACAAACCAGATGTGCAGCAGCTACGCGTCTGACGCCTTGACTTCTTTTACACGAACATCTGCGAGGGTGAAGTTGGTTTGTTTCGTAAACAAAGTAGTAGAAAGGGATGCCAGATGCCATCCACCTTGAAAAGCTATTAACCGGCAACATTTACTCAAGTGTTGTTCCACACAAAAGAAGCAGTGCATTTGTTTTAACAATCAAGTACTTTGGATTTAACAAAAAACAATGTACAATATGCACCATACTGTATACCCTAGATCGTAGATATATAATGTCCCAGCATGATTATGTTTAAAATAAGAAACAAAAGGCTAATTTAGGAGCTTCACAGTAGATTGTAGCCTACTTTTCATCAAAACAATGTGACTACCAAGCAGTGATGCCGGTAACGCGTTACTTAGTAACTTAGTTACTTACTTAGTAACGTGTTACTCCAATCCGACCACTTTTTTCACTAACGAGTAATCTAACGCGTTACT